TGAGACAACGGGTCGTTGTGTCCAATAATGGCAACTAAAATGGCTTTCAATACGCACTCAAAACAGTGTTGTGTTTGTGTTATACACCAAAAGGCACTACACTTTGCCTTACATTCAATGCATTTTCATTACAAACAATGTTTTTTGTGCGAAACCGAGAAACACCTGAACGCCAGTTATGGTTACGTCCTATGAGTTGACGTTTTGTCCATATTTTTGGTCATTTCATTGCATTTGTTTAATAAGTATTTGAGATGTTTTGAGCTTTAAATTGCATTAATTTGTAAATTGATGTGAAAATTAAATCTAATGAATGAGTGCTCTATAAGTGGTGTTTGACTGAAGCCATACATACAAAACATTTGGTCAACACTACAGACATCTAACGAATCGTAACGTTTGAGCGCTTTTTTCGACATTTTCATCAATTATGCCAAAAGTTTTCATTTATAACAAAATTAATTATTTTACAAATAAAATCAATTCAAACAAACAATAATTACAAACAAAAAATATTTATTATATTTTAATAAATGCATTAAATTTAATATTAAACTATTGACAAATAAAAATAAATACAATATAAAGTGATATGAAATGGCATTAGAAGTCGAGTTGAGTGTTGTTGTGAGCGGTGGAGCAGCCGGTGGTTCGGCTAACAGTTTCGCTCAGATCCGGCGGAAGCGATAACTTGTCGACAACGAGGAATCGGTTGTGATTCTTGAGCTGAAATCCCAAATCCAATGTTTCGGGAGTATTATAATAGTTGAATGAATTGAGTTTCGGTAGTTTCAGGACATTAAAGAGTCCGTTATATTCGGTATAAGGGGTTTGTGTCCACTCATCAAAACCAATCAATTGTATGACACAATCGACAACATTGTGGACACGACTTCTCGCGTATGAATACTTTGAGAGCAGAACTAATTGCGGACTAAATGTCGCCAAACAGACAATGTTTGGCACTTTTCTTATCAATGATTTCAATTCATACACATATTTAGGCAAAGAGTCGACACTTATTGGACTCAAAGCAGAGCCCAAACCGTCGATCAAGACTCTGACCACAGTTTTGTTATCGTTTTGATTCAACGCTCGGATCACTTCTAAACACATATCGTGTGTACAAAACACTATATCAGCCGAAGTCAGTGTCTCTTCACTGATGTGTGAATTGAAATCAAAGTCCTTTCCGTCAGTCCTATTGGCACCCGATGTCTGTCCCCTATATCTCCACGCGATCTTCAAGTCATCGCAATTGTCATCAATTTGTTTGGACTGTTGTGTCGATCGGACGGGCAGTTCCTGTGGTCAGAAAAAAGAGATATTATTCTGACATTTATTGCAAATCTAAACAACAATTACTCTCAAAAATCTGGATCTAATCGATGATATGGTTTGCGAGCAAATAATGGTCTTATGTTTGCATTCAATGGATTGCGAGACAAAACATTTGGCAAAGAGTGGTGTAAATTGACACAAATTGTCTTCTTCTGCAGATATTTAAATAAATGAGTGAATCTGTGGTTCAGATAAATGAATCAATAAATTCAATACCTATTAAAGTGATTGAATTGATGGCAAAACCGCCGCCGAGGATGTGATCCATTGATGAAATGCCTGAAGAAGTAATGGATTGCATGCCTTTTGATGACATATAAGTGCCACAAATGGACTCATTTTGGTGTAAATTACGGTCAAAAGTGATCGACATTTCAATTATTAAATTGTAATCCAAATTCAATGTGAAATCAAAACAATTATTGCTTTAAAAATTCACTTCAAAACTGTTTGCAAACAATGAATGGCAAACACAACACGTGTTGTTGTTGTGTGTCTACAATACAGGCAAACCTCCATATTGTTTGCAAATAAAACTTTTTATCAATCAATTTAAATGCATTTTTGTAAATCATAATTGCATTGAATGTATTTTATATGTGTTTTAAAGTGCAGTCTATTTTTGAATTCATGAAAAGGTGTTGACCACCACTCGGAACGCATCCCTTCCCTCCCCAAAGTGTATTGAACACTAGGGGAACGTTCATCTATGGGCTCGAGTCCAACGCCTAATGGCTATAGAGCTCGAGCCCTGCATCGCGCTCAGGAAGGGCTGCCACTACTCGTCATCGTGGGTTAGGCCGACTTCACATTGGATGTGAAGCTATGGATACATACTATAGAAATGATTCTTTGAAGTATGATCTTAACTAAAACACACCAAACACTGGGTCTCCCCTTCACCACAATGTTATTGCTGACGACGGCTCTCAACCCATTCAATACACTCTTTCTGTCGTTTCCACTCTTGTTGTCCGACATATGGTTTGGTTAACTCTTGTGATTATATTCTCTCATTACTATTTTGTGTGTATTTTTCGGTTTAATTGCTGTTAATTGTGTTTAAAGTTGTTATATTAGTTTGTCTGCAATTATTGATTTAATATAGTGGTTGTGTTAGTGTAGAGGCGGTGCACATAATGTAAGCACATGTGCGACAACTGTTGTGTTTTCTTTCAATCAGGTTTTGGATACGAGTTTTAAATTTTATTCAATGATATTTTTTTAATGATCTCTTCATTCATTAAACAGAATTTAAAATTCAATTGAACTAAAAATTGAATAAAAACAAGAAAAATGATTTATTAAATTTGTAACAAACATTTAAATGTTAAAAATTGCATTTTATTTGTCGTCAATAATAGTTTTGTAAACTTTTACATATAATACAAGTGCTTATTATTAATTAGTGAAAAAACAGTTAAATCATTACAAATCGCAATGAATTTACAATTTATTGAAAATGTTGTAATAATTCATATGAAATACAATATAACGAGTTCTTATAGCATGACGTCTAATATGAAAATTATTTTCAATCAATTCATACGAAATAAATCACTAAAAAATAATAAGTATAATAAATAGCGATATATAATAATACTTATAAATAATAAAAACCATAAAATAATTATAAATAAATAAAAATATCTGTATATCGAGGAAGAAAGAGATGTAGTTTTATAACTGGAAATGTAAAACATGTTTCACAACACAAATAAAAATGTATAATCGTTTGGACCGTTACATAACCGCAAACCCAGTTTTGCATTACTCTATATCTCATTATTTCATTTCAATTGAATGCAAATTTATTATTATATTAATTAAAATTTTTCAATTATTTATATTTAATTTTTTCATATCAATAAACTCTTATCTATCAGTAATATATTTATAGTGTTTTTCATTTGAGCATAAATTTGTTGCTATTTATGAGACAATATTCTGTATATAAATCATTAGTTGTGTAATATTTTGCGAACAATTCGTTAAACATTTTATCAATCAATTCAATAGGTTTTTAAAATGTCAATAGTTTTATAAAACAAAACAATGAAATAAGTATTGTTTCAATTGGTTTCAAAGATGTTGATTAGTTTGAGGCCATTCGCGTTCAATCATTTCAATCAAGTCTTTCTCACTTAAACTTTTCAATTCTTCAAACCTATTGCTGTCATCACTTTTGTTGTCATATTTTGTTAAAGTGGCCAAAACTACAACAAGTATTCAAATTGTTATTTTAAGTTATATTCAAACAATTTTTTATAAGAAGTTTTTTTTGCATAAATAGTCGAGAAATTCAATGAGTTTTCAATCCATTCATTCATTTTGATTAAGAATTTTAAAGCGAATTTCGTTTCGTTGACAAAACTTTTGAAAGTTTTAAATAATTTTCCAGTTCTGTGTAGATATGAATTCAGATTAAAAGTTTTTGCTTTTCAAAAGTTCTGTTAATTTTAGACTAATATTTAAGAACTTTTGAATTACTCTCAAAAGTTTTTCGCATAAAACAAAATGAATTAACGAAAAGTTTTAGAAAATTAATGGCAAATAAAATTGTAATACAAATTAAAACAAACCTAAAATCATAACAAAACAAAATGTTATTTAAAATCAAAATTAAGCCAAAAAGTCCTTAAGAACTCGTGCTCTCATTACTGGCTATAAAAATGCAAAACAAAGTAAAACCAAATATTGTTAACAAATGAAGCAAAACATCAAATTAGCAAAAATTGAAATTAAAATCCAAATGATTGAATACCTGCTACAATACGACTCCTTTCCATCACCTCTTTGGCCAATTCGTGGTTCAATTGCAATAACTGAGACCTCCTTTTCTTCTCTTCATTCAACTTAACTCTCGTTTCTTCACTCAAAACATTCTCTTCCGATCCGAGCGCTGATGAGGACGAAGACGAAGATATAATGTGTTGATTGGAGTCACGCCTGACGTCATCATATGTGGTCGTCTCGGACAACATCTTTCTAATCATCTCTGCCTTAAGACTTCGCTTCAACTTCTCGGAGGCGGACATCTCTTCGGGTTCGTCGTCCCGTATATATCGCTCCGGGATTTCAATCTTTTTCGGAAGCATTATCTGTGAAAACAACAATTCAAATGACAGTCCATTCCTGTATATAGTGTTATAATGGATGACATACTTCGCGCTCAATTAGCTTGTCGTCAAAATCGTCGCTCTTTTTAATAGTGCTCTTAACGATGTCCGGAGTGTTCACATTAGCCCTCATCTGAAGATTCAGTTCCGTATCATCGCGTGAGCGCCACATCTTTGAGATCTATAGCCGGCGTAAACGAAAATATTAATTGATATAAAGTTTATGACAAAAATTGTTTGCAAAACAATTGTTTGGAGTAAGAAATATAAGGACACAAATTCACAATAAATAAATAAAATACAAAATATATAAATAAAAAATGTCGGGAAAATGTGTACCGAATTATAAGTTTGATTGACTGCTAAGTGGGGTTGACTGCTAGATATGGTATGATGTCTGCGAGTGGGCCCGAGTCGGCCGTATTTGGACTCAAGTCGACGAACACGTGTCAAACGGAATGGAAAAGAAGTAGAAGAAGAAGAGACAGCGGGAGAAGAGTTGAAAGAAGTAGAAGGAAGTGATGGAAGTGATAGAGAGGCACTTCGAGTGCGCTCAGGCCTAGAGAACAGCTGTCAAATAAAATGTTGATAACAACGTTTACATGCATTGATAATCGCATTCATTATGACTTAAATTATAATCTAATAAATTATATTGAAATAAAAATTAAATTTTAAAGTAAAATACATTTATATAGAAAATATAAAATAGTTTATACGTTACAACTCATGCTTTGCATTCACTGTACGGAAAATTTTTGTCTCAGATTTAATATGAAAATAGTTTTCACCTCTTGTTGTGGATGTGATAATTGGTTATCATTTTGTAAAAAATTTGTATTATTATTATTAGTAGCGTTTGAGTTGTGAAACAAACTCGTTCTTTGAAACTCTGCGTTAAGACTATCGATCATAGAGTGGTTCCCATCATTGCAGTCATCCTTTAAGCCAAAACTGTTGAGAATGTCGTCGTCGTCGCGATCTTCGTAATAATATGGCGGAGGAATAGATCCGATGCCACCGACAGCACCCGACGCGCTAAACTCGCTCTCGTACTGACCATTACTCCAGAACAGATCCATACTCTTTGAGGATCCGTTTGTGAAATGGATTCGTCTTCTCTCCGCTTCTCTCTTAACTATTCTCACGGTTTTGATTTCGTTTGGTTTTTGGGGCAAAATTCCGTAGAATTGTCTCATCTGTTCGTCAACAATGTCTTCAGGATTGGTCGACAATAAGTCATCAGTGGTTTGGAATTGACTTAAAAGAAGTTCGTTTGGATTAGTCGTTAAGTTATTGTTCTCTAGATTTTCATAGAGAGGCGTCTCCTCTCCATCCAAAACATTTCGCGGACAATGAGCTAAGTCTCTGCTCTCCATTGAGTCCATATCGGTCTCCATATAAGTAGTGGTGATCTTCTTCTTGCCGGGCAGTGGTATAGAACCGGCCAAACCTGTGGGACTCGCTCTCACCACTTCTCGCTTCTTCTCTGTAGTCTTGATTGTCTCGATAGCATTGTTCAGTTCCGCTCGTCTACTGTGCAGATCATCGATCACTTGGTTTATGTGCGCCAACTCTGCCTCCAAACTGCAGGTCCTATTTGTCTCGAGTGCCTCTTCATTGGCCAAAACCTGTTTGATCTTATTCTTGGCGATGAGGACGTCGTGCTCTATCTGTGCGTTTTCGGCCGCCTTTTCCTCCAACCGTTTGGCCGAATGCGTCAAAAGACCTCTCACTCGACTCAACTCGGACTCAATCATCCGCTGCTGTCGTTTCAGTTTCTCTATATTTATAACGGGGACCAAATCAGTGCCTATTTTGGCCACTTTACTCTTCACGCCCTCCAGAGTGCGCTCGAGTATCTCTTTGTCCTGTTGTAGAGCCGATAGATTAGTGGTCTCTTCTTCGAGAGATACCTGATCTAAGATGGAAGTGGAGGCGGCTTTCGCTTTGTTATCACTAAAAGCAGATTCTTCAGCAGTGGATGTGTTATGCATTTTGACCATATTGTCGACGGCGTTGATGACCGAGAACTGCATTTCGTACTGTTTTTCGTACTCAACCAACCGTTCCCTGAGTTCTCTGAACTTGATTTTGTGTTCTTCGCGTCTGAAGGGCTCGATTTCAATCATCTTCTCTTCGCTTTCCATCTGAAGTCTCAATTGATCACAATTTTTGGCGAATTGGGATTGAGTTCGTCTCAATTGAATCAGCAATAAAACCAATTCTTCGTGAGATTTGCCCAACAGATCACCCGTTGAGACACATAATCGCGTGGACTTATGGTCTCGCAATGACTTAGGCTTTACGTGCATAGGTTTGCTTGACATTGACATTGGCTTTTGGACCTCAGAGTCGGAAGCGTTCAGATCATCCTTTGAGCGCCTTTTGTGAGATGAGCGACGCTTTCGGACCTTCTCTGCCATTATTGGACCCGAGACTGAGTCTAAGGACAACACAAAAGCAATTATTATTAATTATATTTTACAAAAGTTTTAAAAGTTTGAAAGAGTTTATGACACAAAAGTATGGGAATATTATTTCTCAAATATATTCAATACAAATACCAATGAAATGAAAAAATGCGACAAAAAGAGTGATATTATGTTTTAATTGGTTAACTGTCTCTCACCTCCTGTCGACAACTCAATCAAAGAACTCAAATCAGATTCGCTTTCAGTAAAGTCAGCGAAACTCTTATCCAAACACTCGACTAATGGCACCGATTGTTGACTCATTGATGAAGACTTTACGCTAGAGTTGTCACCGAAATGTTTTTTACTTACTCTTCGCAGCACTTCTGTGCCCATAAAGTCTTCGTCAGACATATTATTATCACTTGGGTTAAAGAACGGGTCGTTTTCGAGGAAAGGCAGTGTTTGTAGTGTCTGTTGGTCTATATTCTCATAGATATGTACACTGTTTTGCTGATCCATAAGACCTTCCAATGATTTTGAGCGACGTTTCAGAGACAGTGAATTCTCTGCGAAACCGTTTGGGATATCATTTTGAAGATCTGTTTGCGATTGTGAATGATTTGTATGGTTTAAGTCGGGAGTAATGCACCTCTTGTTGGCGTTATTAGTATACGAAGCGACGAATGACTTATCATTTTGAGAAACTTTTTGTAGAGTATTTCCGGCTTCATATTTATTGCGCTCGGAATCAATAAATTTGGACACATTTGGCAATAATAAGCTTTTTAATGAATTCTCAATGCTATCCGTACTTTGCATTTGTGGTGGGCTTTGGTTTGCATTAATATTGTTAGTGATTATGTTATTTGTAATGCTATTATTGAGTGAATCTGTGGTTTTGTGAACGGAATTAACAATTATGTTATTAACTCGTTTTCCGACATCACATTTCTGTAGAGAAGTTGTGCCCAAATATCGGGTATTATTGAGAGCATTGCATCGGGAGAGCAGTGGTGGCGGCGATACCGTCTGACGGGCGGCCAACTTCTCCTGCAGTGCTATCTGTTGTTCTTCAGACATCAGATCCGACATATAATAGGGTGCGTTCGGAGACCTCTGCTTCTCTGTGCTCTCATTATTGTTGATCTCATTATTAATGGTAGTGTTGAGGGCCTTATCGTCGACGACGCTGTCATCGGTGGCCACACGTATGCCATCAAACGCTTCGTAAGCGGGGTTTGGGTTTAGAGACAAGTGATTAGCAATGTTTGGCACCGGCTCTGGACGCGGCTTCTTATATGTCCGCACTTTACAGCCGGCCTTAAGCTTAATGTCGTTGTCGGCCATAATGTCTGACTGATAGGGAATGGAGTCGAGATCACGGCTCGCCTCGTCGTCCGCGTCGTCTCCAGCGTCGCTCTCTTTGTCTCCGTCCTCGCCATCCATAGCGACGTAAGCGTCTTCTTCTCCCTCTTTCGTCACTTTATTCATAATCAGATAATCCGATTGTTGGCCGCAATTGGTCTGCACTTCGTGTTCACCGGAATTACTAGTATTTTTGTCAATTAAGTGAAGCGCGCCTTTCGTTACAATCACTTCATCTACTTTTGGCTGTTTTGACAGAAGAGACGTCGGATTCCGTGACAGAGAATAGAGTCTCTCTTTGCGGACGTCAGCAGTCTTTCTGAGATCAGCCAACACTTTGGTTAAGGGAGAGAGCATTAGTGGAGCCGACTTTGATGTGTTGGTCTCTTCGTCACCGATCGATGAGTTATTGTCGAGTATTTCACTGTCACTGACATAGCATTTGGCGAATATATTATTGCCATTCAATTGCGGTTTAGTAACACTTGTTTGACATTTGAAGCCTATCTCTGTGTTATGCACTGTCTCTCCATTCATATGTTTCTTATCATTTTGATTGACAATCGGTTTCACATTTTTATTCTCAAATTCAGTGAACTTTTTGAGCAAACATTTAACAGAATATTCGTCGACTCCGTCTCCGTCTTCGCGTTTATCTAAAGTAAAGTCACGTTTTGGGCTCTCGTTGTCGGTCACGGGCTTTGAGTCCTTGCCATTCACTCGCTTCAGACTTCTTCGAGAAGCAGTTCTGGCGAGTGTTGTCTCGTCGGGCACCGGGAGGCCCACGTCTGCCCAGTCCTGTCTGTTGAATGCATGTCCGATGCTATCATTCTTACTGCTGACCGACTCATTAAAGCTGACGGGACTCATGAGTATACTCTGTCGGCCGGACTCTGCGAACCGCTGGTAAAACATTGTCGACGCCTTATAGTAATCCTCTTTACTTATATCGAGATCAGACTCTTTGTCCGCTTCGCACTCCTTCTCAATGGAGTTTATATTTATATAATCAGGTGTTGTCTGGCTTTTCATTGTTTCCTTCAGTCGTTGTCTCTCATTATAAGGCATTTGCGGATTAAATTCGGCTTAAGTTTTTGGAAACAAATGTTATATTTAAAAGTTTAATATAAATTCTTTTTCTTTTAAATCCATTTTTAAGTTTTGATTTGATTTTTTTCGGCAGAAAGAAGAAGAAGACTCACAAAAATAAGAAGTTTTATGAGTTTTTTATTATTAGTTGTTTTGTTAGTCAAAAGTCCGTCAAAAATTGATTTCGAAAAATAATTATTTTTATTGAATGACAACCGGTTTTAGTGGAGAAGAAGAATAAGAGATGTAGTTTTGAATTAAATATTTTTATTATTAGTGTTAGTTTTCGGGAGATATTTGAGCTGAAGATTGAGTTTAAGTCAAGTCAACCGTTAGTAACACAAAACAACAAAAAATTGTTTTTTGCCATTATTTTCGAGTAAATTATGTTTTTCTTTCTTTCCTTTCCTTTCTTTCAACGTCTCATTCAAACACATTGTAAAGCATTGAGACTTTGAGCCAACAAAATGTTAATACAGTGTAACTAAAGTTAGGTTTTTTTTTGTTAACTTTCGTACAAACAATTAGTTATGTCTATCAATAGGAATATTATTGGAAATTATGTATTAATATATAAAAGAAATGGCATTTCTGTTAGTAATTCGCATTAAATTCGTTACTTTTATGCATAAAATAATTTTCAAAGAAATTTCACAAAATATAAGATTAAATGAAATGAATGAATAGAGAGAATGAGATGAATAGAGAGTTCATAGAGAGATAGGAAATGATGGGTAAATTGAAAGGACTGTTAGGCATACATACCCTCATCATCTGATGAGTAGTTGACGGATACGTTCTTTTGTGGTGACTGTAAGTGATCATCAGTTTGTGTCACGAAATCACTTCCATCTCCAATACTCTTTGATCTCTCCCTTTGTTTGTATGGCTGTTGTTGTTGTGGAGTGTAATCCCTGTCCCTTTGTTGGGGGCCTTTGAGCGCATCCTTCATCGTAAACTTGGATCGATATTCTTCAGGTAGCGGTGGTCTGGAGGGCAGTTCCATAGACTTTGTACTTTGCGTTTGCATTGATTGCATCGATTGGTGTTGTTGTGGCTGTTGTTGAGACCAATTCCTCTTATTGAGCGGCGACTGAAGCATCCGTTGCTTCCATTCCAGTAATCGTTGAAGACTTTCCTCTCTTTGATAGTTTCGCGGCGTTTCTGAATCCATGCCATAAGTGTTGGCATTCGATGAGTGATAATGAGGTAAATGTGACGACAATTGAGAGAAGGATTGGTTCGACAGTTGATTATCGTTTTGCGGAGACGTTATGTTAGAGTTGTCGACCAAATAGTCACTCCACGGACGCGGCTCTTTGCCCGACACAGTGTTGGGCGCCGGAGGATAGTGTGGAGGAGTCATGTAATTAGTCTGTTGTTCAAAGAAATAGCGCGAATAGGGATCGTATCGATCGAGACTGGATTTGGGCCGAACGGGCATAATCTTCGGCGGTTCGTTCGCCTGCGACCCGTTGTAGTAATTGTCGGGTCGTTGGGAGCCCTCAGCGAACCCATTGGAACCGATAATCTTTTGGCACTCGTCCTCGTCTTCGTCGTCTTCCTGATCGCGTTCGAGAAAGTCTGCGGAATGCGGTCGAGGGGGCAGTCGTGAGAAGCGGGGCGTTTGACTGGGAGGCGGCAGACGGTATTGCGGCGGCGATTGCTGGTCGTATGGCGGATATGATTGAGTGAAGTAAGTGTTTGGCACAAAATTACTGTTATAGGAGTCAGCGTTGTGTGCGATTAGGTCCGGCGTCTGATGGCTATTATGACTATATTGTGCCGACGGAGGGATGACATACAGATCCGAGTTGTCGTAATACTGACGCTTTGGCTTCGGGGGTGCGTTCACGTAGTGTGACCTTTGGATCGGTCTTTGTTGAGGGTTTTGCTGGTATACGACCGGCAGACCCACCGAATTGTAAGAACCGGGATATTTGTCATCCGAACCGATATTACTATCGTATGACTGATTGTTATTAATTGCACCCGAATTAGACCGACGGGACTGATAGGAGGCAAAGCCGGACTCCTCTTCGTCCTCGTTATTGGCCGCCACCTCTTGTCCGTCGCCTTCATTGCGAACCGTAGAGAAAGCGGACGGCAATTGCATAATGGATGCCAACGACAATGCGTTCATCCATTGTGTTTGGCATTCTTTGGATTCGGCCGAGAAGTAGTAGGTCTTCATATTGTTGTGCTCGGCTTTGAACGCATACTTGCGTGCGATTCCATCCTCGTTAAGACAGGGCGTTATCTTATAACTGGGCAGTAGTAGTGATCCCAACAGCCTTTCCTCCTCAATGTCTGCCGAGAAATATAGAGAAATAAATATCAAAAATGTTTTTCAAGTGAATAATGATCCGAATGTCGAGTATTTGTAATCGACTTAATATAATGTCAAAACAATTTTTGTGATAAAACAATGAGAGAAATGAAAACGAATGGAGAGTTAGGTCTGGAATATCTATATATAGCGAGAGAGCGCTCACTGATAGTAAACCACAAAAAACTGTGTAATCAGTGAATGAAAATCTCGAGAGAAATACAAAAGCCGTCGAAAACTCCGAAACAAAAAGTTAATTATTATAAAAATCTAAAGAGTAATGAGAATAAAAGCGAAAATAAAGGCAAAAAAACAACATTTGATTTATTATTCGCTATTAAATTAATTGGATTAATGTTTATGTTGTGAGAAAAAAGTAGTGAATATCACGAATTAGAGGAATAAAAATAATTACTTAAACAAAGAGTTGTTGTATTCATCGCTTTACAGTCGCAGACAATTAATAATTATTGAATCCGTAACTGTTGTCTAAAAAGCACTTTATTTTTGCGTTTAATATTAAAAACTAATATAATATTCTTAAAGTGTTTAGACAAAAGCGTGAAACGAGAGACCGAAAGCATCTCTTATATCATTATTGTATAGTAAATATGATATTCAGTAATATTAATAACCGATAAGTGTATACATAGATAGAGAATGAGAGGAAATGGGGGCGAAATGGGATACCTTTGTAATAGAAGAGACAATAGTCCGCGAGGACACACCACCGACGCTTCCATTGCTTAAGAGCTGCCCCTTCCAGACGGTAGAGCCAACCCCTGAGTGTGATCTGAGACTCATTAGTGCGCCGAACGGGTGGCGAACGCAACGAATTGCCCTTTCGTTTCGTCAATTGTAGTCTCAAACCATCCATAATGTTGTTGTGATTATCGTTGTCTACATTGACCGCCAAATAGCCGCCGATCGGATTGTCGGCATAATAGTAGGAGTAGTCGTTATCCGATCGATACAATGGCTCTCCTGTTCTGTTATTGACGACCAGTTCTTGCAAATCATTCACACCATTCTTGAGGTGAGGATAATTGAGCAAATGTTCTCCCGATTCAATTGGTCTGCAAAATGAATGAATCAATGAATAAAGCAATTAATGCATTGCAAAAAATCAATGAAAGACAATCGTAACGACAGCACAACAACTATGGGATCAAAGATGAGGCGGAAAATCAATTGCAACGAAATGTACCTATGATTGCAACAAATAAACTTAGTCCAGTCCCATATCCCCCAGTGCTCCATATTTGACCGATTAGACCGATTATGGCTATTGTGTTACAGAAGATAATTAACGCCAGTTATCGGTCATTAATATATGGATAGCGTTTGAATCCATTTGATTGCAAATCACATTCCGATACATATTATGTGAAAACACTTCTACTGATTGAACCCTAAATGTCAACTAATTCTCTATTATATTATATCTGTGGCTAACGACCAAAATTCAATGATCTCTCTCTGTCCGCATGCTCTGCGCCCATAATATTGATCGCTCGCTCCTCTCTCTCTCTCTCTCTCTCTCTCTCTCTCTCTATTTGTGTCTCAAAACTCTTCTCACGATTCTCTAGTTATCTCTGTTTCCAATATTCAGTATTTGCAGTGTTTCTGTTCATCCTTTGCCAAAGTTTATGCGCTTCTGATCCGAAAACATTAGTGAAGACTGAGAGCTGTGAGACTGACATAAATCTACTCTGACTTTAGTTTATGAGCGCATCTTTGCGTCCCTTTTTTCCAAAGCGTTTCATTCAATGAAAAGACAGAATTGAAGCGAAATAGTGAAGAGAAACAGTGATTGAATTGAAACGGACTGACAATAAGTATGCATATTATGAATAGCAATGTATGATAAGAATAGCCAAATGTGAGCACAAATCACACCAACCGTTCAATTGATTCTCACATTTATATTATATTTTCATTTATATATTTTTGAATCCAACCCTAAAATTGATTCCCATCTCATTGTACGATCGCCTCAATGCAGAACTCATATGATATAAAATATAATATCATATCATTTAATACAATGTATAACATAGTTGTCGTTCACAACAATAGCTATGAATACTAATGCGAAGACAAATAAATCAATTCACTATATAATTGAGTGCCAAATACTGTATGAATTCCCCGTAGAAATTGAGTTAAAACTTATAATAAAATTATCTCTCATTATATCAAGAGATTAGAAGAGAAAAGAGAGAGAAAATAAATTGATAACAAATCTAATAATAAAAATGTTGAATAGTGTATGAAATATCATATTCTAGTATTAAATGTCACAAAAGAAATGTATGGCAAAAATAGTCACTGTTTTGTCATTTCAATAGACTATACGGTATGTTGTGTTCAATGAATTGAATACAAAACTAATTTGACATTCAATATAAATTCCTGTCCTATTATTATAGACTTATTGTCAAAATATTTGCTAAAATAAACAAAAACTATTTCATTATTTAAAATATACTTACATTTTGAAACCGATATCCCATTAACAATAGCCGTGGTATTGAATCATACAATTTGAATGTATTTAACATAATAATAAAAATATCACATATTTGTATGGTTTGAGAGTTTTAGCACAAAAAAACTTTGTTCTCTTCGTTAGGCAAACAAAGTGTCTGATAATAAATATGTTGTTATTATTTGTGATATGCGTTAGAAATAGGGCTTCAAATGGACCGGAATATTAGGAATAATGAATTCATACAATGAATTGGTTTCGGACGACAAGTGTCAGCGCATTCATCAACTCTTGTAAATACCAAACACTAAACACAAAAACTTTGTTTTTGATACAAAAAAACTATTTTCACATCACATCCACTGTTCTGTTCACTTGTTGTGAGACTTTTTGCCAAAAACTAAAATCCGATGATATGTCTGATACTCTGGAAGCGATTGAAATAATGATTAAATAGTAATATTAGACGGTTTTTGGTGTAGTAATAGTGATATATTGAATGAACAGATCGGTTGAGTTGTTGTCTTCTTTATCATGAGCTGACACAACAACACAACACAGATATTGGAGGCCTATGTCTGAAGGAGAGGCTCATGGGCTCAGAGTCTCCATCGTCTCACTACTGGCCCTCATAGCAACCCATAGACTCCCATAGATTCTCATAGACATTGCCATACATGCCATACATGCCATACACTTGTTGTACAGACACTGTTGGGTTGTCTCACAAATGTGTTCTCTCTCTTTCTCTATGGTATCCCTCGTTCTCTCTCTTGTCAGTGAATATCCCGTAAACTGACGACTGTTTTACCACTCATTGCCTTAGTTTGTGAGAGTTAGTGGTGTTTCTCAAGTGCTTCTCCTCTCTATTGCACTACAATTTTGGCATAAAATGCCGACGAATACAGAGTCTGAACGGTTGGGTCAGTGCACTACACGAAGGCCTAAACTTTAAACTATGGTATGGCATGTCTTAGAGGGCCTTTATGTGCGCCAATGGTTGTTAAGGAGCACCAGTTTCTCTGGCACTGGCAGTCAAGAAGTGTTGCATGAGTTTCCCCTCCGATGTGTTGCCCTTTAATGCTTTAGGCAATGAGGAAATGTATTAGACGTATAAGACATGCATTACTTACTTAGGCTTAACACTGTTCCCAACATCACAGCACCGATAGGTTGAGATGTTTTGAGTCGAAACACAACTTTCAAGGATTTTCTTTATTACTTTTCGAAACACTTTATATAAGACTTCATAACGAGAATTGGAAGAGATTTTTGAGGCATTTTTTCATTACGGCTCTCTCTCTCTCTCTCTCTCTCTCTCTCTCTCTCTCTCTCTATTCACTTCACTATAACGAGTATTGAAAGCAGTTTTTGCTCCAAACACCGACTCTCCTCACTCTTGACTCGTCTTCATCTTCGTGTTGGGTCTCTAAAACTCCAATACAACAGAAATTAGAGAATATTTCCAATAAAATCCATTCAACAAAAAACCTGTAGTAATACTTCGCTTGTATTGCAAATCCAATGCTAAGATTACAGATTCAGAGAGAGATAGATAACTTTGAATTGTATTAAATATAATCTTTTAAATTGTGACACAACTCGAGTAAATACTCCCGTCTTTTGTTCACTTATCTTATAATTAGACAATACATGGCGTGTATTACAAAACTGCCACAAAAACCAATTTAATGCTAATATTATCACTCGTTGTTATCATTAGATTTCGTAATAACTATTCTTAACATTAAATGAGTGAAAAATCTAAGACTTATTCTCATAGATAGTCCACTCATTGATTAATCCTCGACCAGAACTGCAAAAGTTTAAAAACCTTTTAATTAAATCCAGAAATAGAGTAAAGAATAAGATTAATACTGATGTAAAAGATTGTATTTTTTGCATACAATTTGTTTTTAATCTCAATGTGTTTTACATGTAATACATATTAATCAATGAAAATAACAAAACAAACAAACAAGAAGTTAACATAAATTTTAAATTAAAAAAATAAAAATTTAATTTAAGTGTTATTTTTGGGAATTATTTCTAAAATAAGATAAAGCACTGCCTATCATAACACTGATGTCATCCTCGGGTGCGCTCCTATTCGCGTCAGTATTCACTGAATCTACTGAACATTTATTGTTATCAATAATATCATCGCAATTATGGCTAATATTTATAGGTTTTTGCGAATTAATGTTCATTTGCGGGGTTTGTCTCTCAAAATGACTTCTATTATTATCAATTGAATTATCTCTAAATTGTTTTCTATTATAAGCCGAAGGCGGAGCGAAATCTGGATTCCGTTCGGTTCTTCGCTCTTCAACGTAATTAGTAAACAGATTAGGCTTTGGTTTGGGAACCATATCAGGCAATACTCGGGGCATATTGTCTTTGCCGACGTCCCATTCCCTCACACTCGTGGGCACAGGTCTTGGTTCGGGTCTAGAGACCGGCACCTCTTCGTCCACCTCTTCCTCCGAATCGCTGGAACTCTCTTTAAACTCGACGGCAATGCCTTTCCTTTGGGCCACTTTTGCCAGTCTTTCGCGTAATAATTGTTTTCGTTTTTGTTAAATTTAATTTAAGTGTTATTTTTGGGAATTATTTCTAAAATAAGATAAAGCACTGCCTATCATAACACTGATGTCATCCTCGGGTGCGCTCCTATTCGCGTCAGTATTCACTGAATCTACTGAACACTTATTGTTATCAATAATATCATCGCAATTATGGCTAATATTTATAGGTTTTTGCGAATTAATGTTCATTTGCGGGGTTTGTCTCTCGAAATGACTTCTATTATTATCAATGGAATTATCTCTAAATTGTTTTCGATTATAAGCCGAAGGCGGAGCGAAATCTGGATTCCGTTCGGTTCTTCGCTCTTCAACGTAATTATTAAACAGATTAGGCTTTGGTTTGGGAACCATATCAGGCAATATTCGAGGCATATTGTCTTTGCCGACGTCCCATTCCCTCACACTCGTGGGCACAGGTCTTGGTTCGGGTCCAGAGACCGGCACCTCTTCGTCCACCTCTTCCTCCGAATCGCTGGAACTCTCTTTAAACTCGACGGCAATGCCTTTCCTTTGGGCCACTTTTGCCAGTCTTTCGCGTAATAATTGTTTTCGTTTTTGTTAGAGACCGGCACCTCTTCGTCCACCTCTTCCTCCGAATCGCTGGAACTCTCTTTAAACTCGACGGCAATGCCTTTCCTTTGGGCCACTTTTGCCAGTCTTTCGCGTAATAATTGTTTTCGTTTTTGTTTCAAATTTTGTTTCTGTATTTTTCGGGTTTTTGTCTGTTCTCTCAACTCATTCAAGAGATCCATCTGTTGTTGTCTCGTCTGTTGGTCTTCAGAGAAGGCATAGTAAGCGACGCCGTGGTCTCGGATCTCATTGCGCTTCACATTCTGGTAGTGAACATTCAAACTATCACTTTCTGGTTCTTCACTATTCAGTTCATTCGTGGCGTTTGTCTCCCAATTGCGGCGCTCTATCTCTCGCCGCAAATCATCGCTCAATAACTCATTACTTGACGACAACTCGGGAACCGATGGGATGTCACTCTTGCGCTCCGATGACGTG